GGGGGGGGGGGGGGTCACCATCTATTTCCTGGACTGAGATGGCTGGCTCAGAGATGACACAATCATGTAAATCCTGATGCTTGTGCAGTTCTTGGCTGTGTTCACAAATGTCTGTCATAGATCAGCCCCTACAGCAGCCTCTTAACTTGTGACTTGCTACAAAGTTACCATGTTGCATTTGGATCACTGGTGGAGGGAAGACTGAGGAAATACTTCCTCCTGCCTGCAGTAGACTGATCACTGGGGGAGGGAAGGCTGGAGGAAATGCTACCTCCTGCCTGCAGTAGACTGATCACTGGGGGAGGGAAGACTGAGGAAATGCTTCTTCCTGCTTGCAGCAGATTAATCACTGGGGGAGGGGAGACTGAGGAAATGCTTCTTCCTGCTTGCAGCAGATTAATCACTGGGGGAGGGGAGACTGAGGAAATGCTTCCTCCTGCTTGCAGCAGATTAATCACTGGGAAACAGAAGAAATGCTTCCTTTTTAACTACAGCAGTCTGATCCCTGGAGGAGGGGCGACTGAGGAAATGCTTCCTCCTGCCTGCAGCAGTCTGATGACATCATCTCAGCCCAGGCTAAGCCTGACTGGAACTCAGGGATAACCTTTTAAATGGTAGAAGGGAAAGCTAGTCTGAAAAATTATACTGCTTCTGTATTTTTTAACACGTTTATTCATGCAGTACAATTACTAAAAGGGTCGCTTTAAAAAAAAATTCAGAAATGCAAAACTTTATTAACAAAAGTACATAGATAAAAAATACAAGAACTATTCAATAAATGATCACAAAAAAAAAAAAAGGTAAAAGATGTTCAGTATAACCCACAACAGTCTGTAGCAACTAGGAATTATCTCTTAAAGCCGAACTCCGGGCACAAAAACCATAATGAAAATATATTCCTCAATAGCTACAAAGGATCAAAAATCCTCGTTGTGTGCGCCAAACGGCTTTGCAAACTCACATACTACCAGTGACATCATCACTATACTGTACAGAGCAGAGCTGTAGGAGGGACCTGTCAAGCTCCACCCACTACAGGCTTGCCTGCAGAAAACTACAGGATGGGGCGGAGACAAGACCAGTCACCCTGCACAAGGAGAGAGAGCAGCATTGAGCGGTCTTTATTACAGGAGGGGGCCGAGACAAGCCCAGTCACCCTGCACAAGGAGAGAGAGGAGCAGTGACTGATCTTTATTACAGGAAGCTCCGAGTCTCACACGGGATTACTGCACAGATCTGGGAGAAATACACAAAGCTCACCGAGATTCAAGAAGAATACACAGGACTCTGGTATGAGGACGGTATCTGCTGATCCTCGGAGTTCAGCTTTAAATGCAGCAAACTGAAATATAAATCGGATGATACAAATTTCCATACTTCACATATGTTCTTGGCTCTTTGGACTTCCTTAAGGTGCAATAAGAAAATAGAAACAGCAATCTATGGAAAGCGAATCCCAAACTCATCAAAATTCTTTTTTTTTTTTTGCCTACAGGTTAACTCCGCCCCCACAATATATCCTTCACTTTGGGTGGCCACCAGTGGGGTTGAATCACCCGCCATCTTCTGACGTCCCTGAGGTTCAGCAAGCTAGCTCAGCTCCCTCTCTTCCCATCAGGCTGTAGCAGAGGTGTTACGCTCTTGCATCTGGAACCGCTAATGATCCGCCTGCTCTACCGAAAGGTGAATGCGCCGCCGTGAGAAGGTGACACCTTTAGTCCAGCTCTGTAACAGTCTCACCAGTTGGGTATATATCTCACCAACGTAATCTGAAACTGCTATGTGATCTACCTCTGCAACCTTTGGAAACCAAGCCACCTTTGTGGGTGGAGCTGCCCTTTAAACCCCCCCCGCCAGATGAAGATATTGCACTCTCAGACCTCCAACTGCAGGGCAAAGCTCTAAACTCTGCAAAGGCACCAAGGCAATGAAGACCTCATCATTAATGGAAACACAACCAGCGGCAAAGCCTTGTCTCTTCACCTCGCCATCACCGGGAAGGCAGGAATTACCCAGCTATGAATAATATTGCAATAAATTCATCCAAGCCCCCCACTTTCCCCAAAACCAAAGGAGAGCCAACATCTCCCTGCACCAGGGGCTCTAGATGTGCGGAGAAGGTTAACCCTTCACACCCAGAATAACCCCTGCGGGTGTACAAAGGCACGACTGAGCAAATCAGATTCAAAAAAAAAAAGGGGACTAAATCCAATTTATTACGACTCTACTGGTGCCAGGCGTCTAAATAATGCACCCGATGCATGCAAAATGCGCCCAGGTGCACCTTTTCTTTCCAGATTAAAAACAGTTAAAGCAGAGAGAGAGAGAGGGGAAAAAAAAATCTCTCTTCGCAGGCAACTATACTCTTCTGTCGCTCCACCACTACGAGGGATGATTCACTAGTTACCAGCTCAGCTCCTCAACAGGCAGAGCTCCAATTTCAACTTCCACGGCTAAGACAGATGCCGAGCGCCGCTGCTGCCTGCCTGCACGCCGGTCCCAGGGTCTTCATATCGTGCATCAGGATCATTGCAATTAATGAGGCTTTGTATCGATCAGAATAATCGATGAAGTGAACTTGGAAAGAGAAGGAAAAAGGGAGGCAGGGGGGGTTGGCGGCGCGCACAATAACCCCAAACAAACAAAATTATGCGCTGCCAGGTATAACGACCACCCAGAGAATAAAATGCACTAATAAGGGTTGCAGCCTTGCTACATGAAAGATAACATCCCTTCGAAGGGAGATTCCTTTTTTTTTCGCCCCCTTGATCCTTACGGAAAACAACCTTCTCGTCAATATGCGTGGCGACGGGGCTTTGATGGGCTTGATAAAAAGGAGAGGAACGGGCGAGGTGGAAGCTCGGCTTTGGAAAGGGGAGAAATTTCACACAATTTAAGGCTGATCAGGTCTGCGATATGTATGAATCTCGCTGCATGCAAGGGATTAACCCGCGGGCTGCCGGGAAAAGAGCGCAGGCTCAGGGGAGGATTAAAATAACAACAATCAACATAAAGAAACAAAGTATACACATGAAATAAAATAAAAAAAAGATCCTGCAAAGGAAAGGGTGATATCTGTTTATCCTGCCCACCAGTACGGTCTCGCTGGCACAATTTTGATAGGGCAGTTGAGCTGCTATGCTGGGTTTTGTCATGCAGGGGAGAGAGATGGGCATTTTAAGTAGCGGGAGGCGATTCCAGAGGTGTTGGCACACAGTTTCGAGAGGGATCGCGAGCTGCTATGTTGGGTTTTTGTCATGCAGGGTAGACATAGGCATTGTTATAACGCTAGGAAATCCCAGAGGTGCTGGCACACAGTATCCAGAGGGTACACGGGCTGCTATGTTGACATTTTAAGGAACGGTAGGCAATTCCAGAGGTGTTGGCACACAGTGCCATGAGCTGCTAGGTTGGGGTTTTGTCATGCATGGCAGAGACAGGTATTATTATTTTAATGCTTGGGAATCCAAAAGGTGTTGGCACCGTGGGTGAAGCTGGCACTTCCTCGGCACTCAAGAGTAGGGGGGCAAATAAGTATTTGATGGGTTTGGAAGTGGCTATAGATAAGCTGTAAATCAAGATAGGAACTAACTAGCTGGTTATTGGGGTGCAGGGGCAGCAGCTGGGCAAGGGGCAGGATTGCAACCAGCAGGTGGGCACAGGACACGCTACACAACCGGCTTCATTTACATTTGTATACATGACAATGGTTGGAGCTGGATACGGCACTGAGATGCCACCCTGGGGTGCAAGCAAGGGTTAATGCCACCTGGGAACATTGCAATGAAGGGGCTGCAGGAGCCAGGGGAGTGGGCAAGGTGGGCAGCATGATGACCTGCAGTTGGTGGATAGGCAGAAAAAATGAATGCAAACAGGGCAAAGCCGAACGGTAACAGAGGTTGTGAGACCAGGGGGCATTACCATAGGGTCACTGAAGGCAAGAAAGTC